AGATCTTAACAACTTGATGTCATTGAAACAACTATGCACAATGCTTGAGAATAAAAGATAAGATTGCACGAAACAAAAGGAAGAGTGACGGAGATTACCTCAACCAAGCTTATTACACCCCGTACCGAGTCACCACCATCCGATGACTCGAGATCAACGGTCTAGCTTTAATCTCGAATCAGGAAAGTAAATTTCAACCAAGCCACACCAATGGAACATGAACCCTTTTGATCACAAACTCAAACCCTAGGTTGAGAGAGATGGTTTCTCTTTTTGCTAAACCCTAAAACCCTTAGCCATAAATATATATTTGAGAGATATGAAAGAGAAGAACTATATAACCTAAACCCTTAGATTCTTTCACAATGTGGGAGAGAGAGATCAAATATGAGAGAGAAAAACTTTCTTAAGAGAGAGATAGAGAGATAAGGTATAGAGATTTTGGGTAGAGGCAATCCTTTTTTTATAGGCTTGAACAAGATTATGGTTTTTTAGGGTTTTCTTTGGCTTGTCTCTTCTTGTGAGATTGAACATAGACCGTCGATCAAGGGTGACTTTTGGGGTGAAAGATCTGAGCCATCTATTTCATAGATGGGCCATCAACATTATGGAAGGTGCATAGACCATTATCCCCATTTCTTTAACCATTTTCTCATCAATAGAAATTAGATAAATTAAATTTAATTAAAATATTATGCATTCCATAATCTTTCACAAAAAGTTCTAAAGAGATATCAAGTCAATATACACATTCAATATTTGATCAATATATGATCAAAATATTCCATATTTTATTTGACCACATGCCATAACATAATATTACCAAAACATGAAATAACTTAAACTTCAAGAAAGAATCCAATGGGTGAGGCGTGCCACCCATGTGTGGCACATATGGGCCCCACCCACTTGACACATGGTGGGCCCATGTGCACTATTGGCCCCTCCATAATATTTTATATAATTTTAAGTTATCAAAAAAATAATTCTAAAATACTATTTGAATTTTATAATTTTGTAAAATCAATATCTTCATTTTAATAAGTCTAAAAAAATTATAAATAAAATATCAAATAACTCATAAAAATTCAAATAATAATTCTAAAATAATTTCTATCATAAAACAAACATAATTAAATTAACTTGATAGGAAATGGATCCATATGGTTAAGGAATTTAATCTGCAATCATGGGGTACTCCACCTTCAACTGTGGACTACAGACCACACTTGCCTTATCGAACCGACCTAGTGTTTTCCATGACCCACAGTCCAAGCAGGGGATCATTAGCAGGTCACCAAAGTCTGACGGATGAGCCAAAGGGTCGCAATCCTGTTTTGTGGATTACAGGTCCTCCCCTAGAGACAAGTCAAGGTCACAAAGATCTTATGCGACCACAGATCTATGACGCATAAGGGTATCTCTCACACATGCATACGTTTCACGCTAAAGGTGAATTTATGGTTTTCCCGAACGATCTTTCAATATGCATGTCGTGTGATGGTACATAGATGAGGTTTTGGCTCCTGTCTCTGTAGGCCATCATTACACACAAGAGTCACACAGTCCCTTGGCTCACTCATCCGGGCATGTTCTCCGACCTCATCAAGGGTTAACTCATAAACCCTCATCAGTTTGTTCTTCATGCCCAGGTAATATGAGTTTTTTCCAACCGACTGGCCTAGATCGTTAAGCACAGATCGGTATCAGCAAACTATCGTTTGCTTAGTATGGTCTACAAGAGACCACACTTTCATCGAGTTCATGTTCCACTATATCATTTCATTTTTCAAGCACTCATAAAGCTTTTAAGGCCACATAAACCCAACAAAAATTGCCTTGTTGTACTCACTCCTATCTTATAAATTGCCTTGTTGTACCTCACTCCTATCTTCAATAGGCCTGCTCTTTTTTTTTTTGAGGGCATGCCAATATGATATTATACAGAAGACCTCACTCCTATCTTCAATCGGCTTGCTCTTTCTTTTTTTTTTTTGAGGGCATGCCAATATGATCTTATGAAGAAGGTTCTAGATATAGGATCTTATGAAGGAGGTTTTAGATTGAGAAAAACTGCTCGAACGGGTGATGAAGTATCATACATATCCATCAAGAATTTTTTAGGAGAACTTAAGATGGAGGGCTACAATCATACATCAAGAGGCAATTTTTGAAATAATGTTAAATGCGATTTATAATTCTTTCCTTGTTGGTTGGGATAATTATGTAGTTTTATATTTATGCGAATATTACCGCGACACTCCATATTTTATTTGGTGCGTGTTGACACGTATCAACACCCACACGACCAACATGCCGTCCATATGTGTCGGGCTAAATTATCATTCGGCGACCTTCATGTAGACACTTTTCATCACATCACGTGTTCAATGTCTTTGTTGTTGCATATTCGAAGTACATTTGTGGGACTTGAACCCATGACCATTTGAGACGGCATTTAAAGTAGTAACCACCATGCCATCCATTTATAATATATATAATTATAAGATATGTATTAATTATGGAAAATTGTTTCATGTGGGCTGGATCGCATTTCTACATATGTGGTCTAGAAAGTGTAAAGCATCCATCTTATTATAAAGATTTTTTTGGAATATATTATTATAAGTATCATATGTGTATCATTATGAATATAATTTATTGTCATATTTTATATAGGGAAAGGTTTCTATACTTCCCCTGTGGCATAGAAGATCTATGCTTCCCCTACCATCTAGCTGTTCAATTTTGATCAAGAGAGCCACTCACCTTTTGATCTTAGATCCGATGTCTCAAAGTATTTTATTTTTAGTTTTTTTATACAAATTGTATGAATATGAAATTTTGTACGTATCACCTTCGTATTGGGGCGCACCTATAAAAAATATTAAAAATAAATTTTCGATAAAATATAATGATCAAAATACCCCTTGAATCTTTTAGGGGTATTTTGATCATTTTATTTTATTATAAATACTTTCTTATAGTGTGAGTTTAATAGAGGATTAGTTGTCCAAAATTTGGTGTCATAATAGTTTATAGAAAAAAAATTAAAAATAAAATGATGTAGAGACGTGACATTGTGATTGGGGCAATCTTAGCCCTCCATTCAGAACAGACGATTAGATAAGGGGAAGTATACAAGATTTATGCTGTAGGGAAAACATACAAAGCTTGCCCTTCTATATAAGTGCACATGGAGTAAAAAAGAAACCATCTTTTATGCTTTAATATATTAATTAAAATGTGATTTATAATTCAAAATATAAATTACTCTATGCAATTTGAATTTGCAAACTTCTAATTTGAAATTAATTATTCACCCAAAACAGTTTGAAATTAATTGACGTATTTATGCAACTATCAAATATTTTTTATATATAAGAATATGCTAGGGTGAGCCTACTAGCTCTCAGGAAAAATGAGCCCAATGATTTCGATTGAATCTTGGCCGATCTGATAATCACGGATGCCCGGTAGTGTTTAACTTTTAATTTTTTTTCTACAAATCCAAATTACTTGAAAATTAGATCATGTGTACATAAAAAATAGGTGAATCTTCGAAAAATATCAAAAAAATATTTTACATGACATAAATTATCCAAAATACCCCCAAAAAGTATGGGGGTATTTTGATCAATTTTTTTCACATTTTTTTTATTATATATATTTTTATTAGGTGCGGCTTGATGATAAGAACACATGCCTAAAATTTCAATTGATTTGGATTTGTCAAAAAAAAAAAATTTCAAATACTACCAGACATCTTTGATCGTCAGATCAGCCCAGATTCAATCTGGGCTGTTGGGTTCATTTTTACCTGTGAGCTAGTGGGCTCACCCAAGATTTTTCTATATATATATATATATATATGATATTTTAAACTTTATAACCCTTCAAATTACAAAGGTTCAAGATAGAGAGGGTTGTGAATGGTAATATATATATAGGATATTTTAAACTTTACAATCCTTCAAATTACAAAGGTTCAAGATAGAGAGGGTTATGAATGGTGAATTTATTAATTTTGTAGTATATTTCTTTAAAAAATTTACTTTTATAGGGCAATTTTGTAAATATTACTACAAGATAAATGGGACTTTTGTCATCTCCATAAGGGGTAAAATTAAAATTTTAATTAAAGGACAAGGGCCTTCTACAAATAAAGTTCCAGGGCACTCTACAAATAAATTTTCAGGACACTAATTTCCAAAATGCCATTGTATTTTTGTGAAAATATCAAATTTACCTTTGCTTAATGATGAGGTTACCTATTTAAATAATTTTTTAATAAAAAAATAATGATTGTTTTGATAAATACACTCATCACAACCCCTTCTAACTTGAACCTTTGTATTTTGAGGGGTTGTTAACTCTAGACAAACTTCTATATATATATATATGGAAAAAGCTTGGGTGAGCCCACTAGCTCACAAAATAGTATAAGCCTAATGGCCCAGATTGAATCTGGGCCGATCTGATGGCCGAGAGTGTTTGAATTTTAAATTTTTTTTTTACAAATCCAAATCTTAGAATTTTAGAAGAATATTCTTTTCATCAAGCTGCACCTAATAAAAAATATATAAAAAAAAATAATCTACAAAAGTAAAAATGACCAAAATACCCCCAAAAATTTATGGGGGTATTTTGATCATTTTTTTCATGTAAATTATTTTTTTAATATTTTTTAAATATTCACCTATTTTTTAATCAACATACTTCTAAAATTTTAAGTAATTTGAATTCGTAAAAAAAAAACTAAAATTAAAATACTATCAGACATCTGTGATCGTTAGATCGACCCAGATTCAATCTAGGCCTTTGAACTCATTTTTTCTTGTGAGCCTCTTGGCTCACAGAAGCCTTTCCCTATATATATATATATATATATACAATGTGCGGACGGTCGTTGCATATTGTAGTTTTGGCCTAACTACTAGATACTACATACTGTATTAGATACGACACCCGTGTCGGTCGTCCATGTAACACTGATTTAGTACTA